CTTGGCTTTTATTTTTATCAGTGAGACTGTCACATCTGTTGTCTGCACTAACTTAAACATATATACCACTAACAATGAAAGTAAACAATAGCACTTACTCATCCATTTCATCCTGAGCCTCATCTTCAAATGGATTTAAAGAAGTCACAGTTTGAGCAGCTGCTGAATTTTTACTATCCTCTTCAAACTGATTAATACCTGTTGAAGGAGGTTCTATTTCTTCAAAGGGGTTGGTGGATGATACACTCTCATCGAATGGGTTGAGTGACAGAGATGTGACTTCTTCTTCGGCAGTTGCATCACTATCATCATCAAAGGGATTTAATCGCTTTGATTGTCCACCTGTCACTGGTTTCACAACTTCTTTCTTTATATTGCACTTTACAAATAAATCACCTGTGCAAAGAAAATTTAAATGCAAAAAAAAATCAGTTACATAACAAGGTGATTACTGAGTGCTGATTGACCCAGCTACACGATTTATTTAGAATGTATTTTCAATAGAGATGATAAAATGGAGATAAACTGAACAAAATACAGTTCAAAAGTAGTGATCACATTTTCAGAAAGATAAATCAATAAGTTTTTTGATGTTACAAACAACATTATGCCCACAACATATACAGCTGTATGCAAAAGAACTTGATTATGGATATATGTCTGACTCAATATATATACTCTCCCTTGATGGCAAACAAAAAACAGATATGAAAAAACTATATATTCATACAGACCATACTTACTTGAATTATTCTCCCTATTAATGTCAGAGTCATGGCTATCATCTGTACCAAATAGGTTGTACTGATTAGCCAGTTCAGATATTTTAGCAGATGTTCCTTTATCATCAAAGTCATAATCTTCATCATCATCATCATCAAAATCTTCAATATTCCCAACGTCTTGCTGGTAACTTAAAATACTGGCTAAACTCTGCATATCATCATCCCTGTTGGTCAAACGTCAATATGGTAATTAATATGTTTTTCAATTAACTGGACGGAGGCACATGTTAATCATCAGCTTCAGCCTCAGATGTTTTGCCAGAATATTTGAGCCTCTGACAATTAGCTTATTTGTTTGTTTAGCACAGAAACATACTGGCTAGCAATATTTGAGCAGCAATAAACTGTCAACAGTAAGAAGGAATTGTTTTTTGAAGTGTTGATTACTTTTACGTAAAAATTATGATGATGCATCTAATTTTATATATGAGATTTTATAACTGGTAGTGAGGAAAGTGACTTCAGCCTGCCTGTTTTGAAACCATTTAGCAAAGAAAAGAAGAATCAATTAAATCCTAGAAAATTTTCAATAAACTAACTACCTTATGCTGAGAAACTGAGGGCTAGATTTTTTTCTAAATATTCATTACGGTATCAGTGGTTATTACTCTGGACTGGCAATGACAGGACTGTGGGTGCTGGCTATACCATAGTGTTGTATGGTACAATAGTTATCACTCTAGCTAGACTGGCAATGACAGGACTGTGAGTCCTGGCTATACCATGGTGTTGTATGGTACAATAGTTATCACTCTGGACTGTCAATGACAGGACTGTGAGTCCTGGCTTTACCATGGTGTTGTATGGTACAATAGTTATCACTCTAGCTAGACTGGCAATGACAGGACTGTGAGTCCTGGCTTTAACATGATGTTATATGGTACAATAGTTATTACTCTGGACTGGCAATAACAGGACTGTGAGTGCTGGCTATACCATGGTGTTGTATGGTACAATAGTTACCACTCTAGCTAGACTGG